TTTGCAGTAAGCAGTTGTTCTGCTGTATATTTGAAAAACTTCCAGGGCAAAAGGAAGTATAGCCTTTTGCATTACACTGTAATGAGCAGATTAATTAAGGTAAGAGCTGTATTAAAGCCCATGTATGACAAGGAATGCCCCATCTCTGGCAGCCAGCTGGTATCCTCAGTTTTCATATCAAGGTGCAGTATTTCTGGAGCACTGATTTTTCATCAGGATGGAATCCATAATGCTACAAAAGTGAAGTGGCACAGAATCAGCCCTCTTCTTTTATACAAAGGATTATAAAAGGAATTTAAAAACACAGACATTTTAAGCAGATTTAATTGTTCAGTTGAGATAAAAGATATTAAAAGTACTAAAAATAGCAACTACTTTTTTTTCAACTGACAAAGCATCAGATGTTATTTGTTCTTCCACCCAGCAAACAGAAACCAGTTGTTGGGATGTCAGCTGTTGAAAAAATCGAGTGAAAGTTAAAATGCTCACTGGAAAAGCACAGTTGAATTAAGCATAGTCTGCACAGATCAGTCAGAGAAGGTCATGCTTTACTGACACAGGAGTACTGTGAAGACGTTACTGCCATGACTGATGAAAGGAATTCAGTAGATTTATGATACCCTCATTTGACAATGCCCTTCCCTCAGAAATTAATGACTACAGGACAGTGCTAGGACATCAGGAGTAAATGAAACTGTTAGTTAAAAATAAGAGCTGGAAAAAATACATTTGAAAGCTTATTTTAATGTTTTCAGGGGGAGATATGCAGGTCTAAATCAAACTTCTAGTACACCCATGTTATTTGCTTTGGGACAAGGATGCTGACTCCTTTTAAAGGGCAACTAAATTACAAGGAGATTACATTACCCAAAGGAATCAGTAGATGACCAAGTTGACTCTGTTATTTAAAATGCTTAATACGGACCAGCAGGACAACCACTTACCATGGGAAAAAAATGTGTTGAACCATGGTGAAACACAAGATCTTTACTGAGTCTTTGGAAAAACTCAAACATAAATTAACTGATGTATACCTACATTCAGCAGATATTGTACCTACATTCAGCAGCTTTTTAAATGCCTGCCTGGAAGATACAGATGTGTAAAACTTTTTTCATAAATTCTATCAGTGCCTCTACTGGAAAAAAAACCTCCTTATATAAATATTAAGCTACCCAATACAACAAGAGCAGATCTAGTACAGGATCTTAAGAATTTCTGATAGCACACGGAAGGTGTCATCTTCTATGAAATGCAGCAAGTTTTCAGAGTAATTGCTGAAGAACTCTATCAGATGTACATTACAATTTCTTTGTTCCCTCTAATTGAAACTTGTGTTATTAAGTTACATTCAAAAAATGCTGATTTTTCTCCTAGATGAGAATTGGTATGAAGTAATCAGAATAAAACCAAGACTGTGAAAGTCCAACTGGGCCAGAGAACCAGAAATTAAGTGCGAGAGATAAGCTTGAAACTAGGATAAGGGATAACTAAAGGCTGGATAAAACATACATATCCATGACAATGGGACATTATCACTCTTAGAATCATTTAAAGTTCCGTTTGGTTTTTTGCCCTGAACTTTTCCTTCCCTTGATCTGGTCTGAAGGGATTTTATTGTTCATACCTTTAAGATAAGTGTTTTCTGCAAGGGAGACAATCTGCTTTATCCAGTTCATATGTTAAAAGACACCATGGTTGTTGGCGCTTTCAGCCCCAGTGTAGGTTCTGTACATGCACAGGGATCCTTCCCCAGTGAACTCAGGACTCCAGACCCCAACATGATTTCCTCTGCTTCACAGCACGTCATGTACAAACACTAGCCAGTAGCCTGAACTCCCTACATCTCTGAAAACTGAGATTTCCAGATGGCAAGCTGATCTGACTTGGTTACTGAAACAGTGCTGTAGATACCAAAGGAACTAGAGCAGATGGAGTGACACCCTTAGCTGATTATTTCTGAGCAATGGGAAAGGTAGCTCAGGTATGGATGAGCACTGCAGCTCATTATCATTTTAACCAAGCCATCTTTATGTAAAGGTTTTAAAACAGAACCAAGTTACCATGGAAACTGATTGAAGCAAAGACTTACTGTAAATTCTTTTCTAGACAATGATAACAGGACTGACAGGTGGGCTGTAAAAGGAGAACGAATGCAATACAGAGTAAGGCACCTTGACCTGTTTCCCCTTCTTAGAAGTGTTGTCATTTATAGCTCTGCTTTATCTCTATGTTTTCTATGGTGATATATTGAAAATATTTTAGAAGCAGCTCCCATCTAAATGAACCTTTTATTTTGTCATAATCATACTTGCAAGGAGATATAAAAAAAAGAGAAGAGAGCTACAGGGCAGGGCACTCCACTTATTTTCTCAAATTATTCTGTCTTACTAGAGCCATCAGGGAGCGAGAGCCATCTCTCAGGAAACACATTTGCATAAAGTGCCCTTTCCCACCAGTGTTTATATTTTGGTCTTGAAATACACTCTAGGTACGTTTACATCCTAGCACACTGCTCCCCGTGTACACTGTGAAAGAAAGTAACAGGAATTAAGTGATTTTACTGAAGAAATACCTCTTCTCCCTTTCCCATAAATTTACAAGTATACCAACTTTCTGTAATCGCATTAAAAAATTATTTGTCTCTGTAAATATCTTTCTTAGCCTGATGGATGATAGTAAGAATAACAGATTAGAGTACCTAGCCTTCAAAACACAGTGCCAGAGTTTTGAGAAAGGAAGTTGGCAGAATGAACAGCAGAGCTTGTACCTTTTCCACTTGGAATAGTTAGCTGGCAGCACTGGAAAAGATTTCAGCATATGAATATGCAATTTTTTTTTTTTTTGGTTGTAATTCTGTGCTGGGTGTTTCTACCTGCTGTGCTTAATTTCAGAATCTCGCATTATCATTAGAGAAAAATAACATCTTTTGCAATACAATATTCTACGAAAAGGAAGGAAAGAGAAGGGGGAGATTTTCTCCTAGATGAGAAAAAGAGGAATTCTTGATTTTGTCCTGATACTTTTCTAGCCCAAAGTTTCTCCTTGGTTCTACCTCCCAGCTGAGCTGTGTTTGCACATGCCCTTCTGACACAATCTATAAAACAATTTTCTTCCAAGTTTTAGGAGGTTTGCTGTCACCAACAGACATGTTTGGTCCCAGCACACTAGAACCACAACAGACAGTCACCTTTTCCAGCAGGTTTGCCTTACAGCTAAAAGTAACAGCAGCAGCTGCTTTTGTTGTCAGAAGTAAATATACTTCTCACCTTCAGTCTCTGCCTTTGTCAGCACTGAGGGTGTGGGGACTTGACAGATGGCTCCTGCTAACATATCACAGATAAAATGGTATTTGGTGTATGGCATAAGTTTCCAGGCAAATAAGAATGTTTTTCATTTAATATCATCCCTGTGCAAAGCTGGAAACTTAATAAAATGTGGCAGGCTCTAAGGCAACACATCTTGACATGTCAAAGTGTATGAGGATGAACCCAGTGGCAGAACTCCCTGATAAATGATGCACAAGGCAACTTCTACTTGTCATGAGTGAGTTTTGATTCCTGTGTTTATTATCTGTAAAGCTTTTTGCCAATCAGACAAAGCAAAACACAAATCCTAATTCTACTCTCTTTATGCAAATTACAACTTCTGTTCTGTCCACTGTACAATATTTGGGTATCTGAGCCACAGAAAGCTGCCAGTCCAGGCTCAGCTGTCAGACACACTTGTGCAGAGGTTTTGCAGTCCTTGAGCCTGGACACTCAAGGACTCCTTGCATTGAAGGTAGAACCATTTAAAGAAAGCCATTTTAAGTACTTCTATGCTTTTTGTCCTCATTCTGACACAAATCCTACTGGAAAGCAGTCAAAAAATATAGCTGCTGTTTTCCAAGCAAATAAATTCCCCATGAACATAAAAATTATTTCAAAATGGGTTTTTTAATTCTAGAAATAGTATCCCAATAGTCAACAGTTTAATAAAATTGAAATTCCTTGGCACTACTGTACATTCCCAATTTTAATTATTTTTCATATCTGGTTGTGTGACAAAAATGTGTTGTTTCAAATAATCATCAGATTCCACAAAGATGTTTATCTTGGACTTAAGGAAGTCCGAGGTTTAGATATAAGAATGTTGGTAATAGTTAAGGTCATAACACAGGACAGTATAATTTTAATTTACAAATTCTCACCTAAAGGCATGATTTTTCTAAGCAAAGGTGGGGAAAACATGCAAAAGAGATGGAGGAGGGATTGTTTGGAACTGGAAAAAGCCAAGATATAAGTTCTGGGAGAAAAAAAACAACCACAACAAAAAGAAACAAAAATACCGCAGCAATCAAACAAACAAAACCCCAAATCCCAACAAAAAAAAACCAAAACAAATCAAAACATACCACCAAAAAACATCAGAGTGGTAAACCAGAAAACTGAACAGACAAACCATAAAACCACAGTTTTAAGTTTTACACAGTTTACAGAATTACCAATCATAATTTAAGGATAACTCTTCCAAGCCTGATCAGAATTCTGTGAAAATCACTGAACTTTGCAGAGGTGTCTCAGCCAGGCACCTTGTAAACTTCAAGACCAGGCCTAAAATAAATCAGGTCAGTGGTGCAAGTAAACTAGTCTGTGCCACCTCTAAGCATGAGTGGTCACTCTAAAGGTGTTGTTTGGGCTTCCAGAGGGCAACTTGACAAACACTTCTATTCTCTGTTTCTCATAGCATGCATTTTCTAAGACACACACTATTTCTACACGGTTGTGTTGACACATTTTGAGAAAAAAAATGTATATAAATAGGTTACATGCATGGATTTAAGTGGTTAACAGTATGAAATTATGTCAATACTCATATCTGCAAATTTACTACTTCAGTACTTGGCCTCAAGTATCTAATTGTTCCATCTCTGTTTTCATGGAAGACAGAAAAAAATGTAATGAAACAATAAGTCTGTCATTGACACATCTGTAACTCACGCATTTTTGTCGATGCAGGTTTTTCAATACAGAGTCCACACTGGTTTCATATGTGATGAGGAGACAAGCAAACAGTGGAGAACAGCAGTAGATACAATGCAGATAAGCAAGAAAGAAAAATTAAGGATGAAAAGACGGAGCTGTTTCTAGGAAATCAGGTAAGGAATTCGGATGATTCTCGATAAAGTGTAAAAAGTACAAAGAATTGTGCCAAGTAGTTTATCCTGCCCTTCCTGGTATTTCTGAGAATTCCTTCTATATGTGTCTAGGACATATGCACACACACGATACATATACCCTACAAACCCCCACTGACACAATGAATTTACTTTTTGAGCAAAATTGCTGTTACTCTCAGTGCAAATATTTATTATACTGGTATCCTACAGTTCTTTTCATAAAATCAATTTCCTGTATTTCATTTTATTTCCTTTAAATAAACCATTGTACTAGTTGTTACAGGAAGCCAATTGAGTAGTGGTTTGACAGAGGAGTAAAAGTGAGTTGTGCTATGTGTGCTCCTGTTCCCCCAAGTGTCAAACCTTACAATGTCCTGTCCTCAAACCCTTGGGACATTACAAGCACAGTGCAGAAAAGCACCATCTCTTATCACCCACCCCTCCCTTCCTAGGTGACAGGTGGAAAGTTTGGTTAGAGCTTGGGCACACTTACATTTCCTAAGCATGACCGGAGAGGAGTAGAAATACATTTACCAAAGACCAAATCTGGACAAACAGGGAAGAACAATTCATCCTTTCCTCATCTGCTCTCCTGCTTTGGAGAAAAGCTGCTGCACCACTTGTAGTGTCACAGCAGGAGCACAAACGTGGTGGAGACTGTATAATCTCTACTCCCCAAAACAAACTGGACACTAGGCTAACTGCACATTACCTGATGGAACTGTTCATGACAGAAAAATCCTATAAAATTTTTAGCGACACTTACTTTCAGAATAGTCTGAAATTATATTTTTGCCACAAACAGAAGATGAAAAGAAAACCACAGCTAAACATTACAAATCTACTTAATAAATACCTCTCCCTTTCACTCACAAAACTAAAGATAACCTAAGGTGCTGGTATAGCAACACACATCAAGTATGAAGAAATGATTACCTACAGGTTTTTGCATTCCTAAGTAACACCATCAGCTTATCACACCCATTTAGTATATCCACGAAGCAGAAATTGCTTTAGAGTTTAGTCTTGTAGAAGTACTTTAACTCATCTACCAAATCCTTATTTATGCTAATATTTAGTTTTCATAGAACAGCATCTAATGCTTCCAGACAGCACCTTTCAGAAGACTGACTCCAAACCTGTGGAAATTCACAACTGAAAAAACATGTTCCATGAATTCCCAAGAGCTCTAAAGACATTAAAACATCCTTAGCCAAGCCTCACAAACTATACAAAACTCATTATTACTGTTAACATACCATTTACGTGTTGCACAGTTCACTGTAACACAATACTCTGCCGATGATAACTTTGTGCAGTTTGGTAGGACTGCCACATGATGGGACATTCTGTCAGTTCCTGGTTGCTGTTGATTGATGGCTGCTGCATGCTTGCAGAGTATCAGCAAGGATGTCTCCAATGGGAGAAGCAGCATCATACAGCTGGAGTTTCTCTAAGACGTGCAATTTTCATGAGTTACAAACTTGGGAATGTCACACTGTAAAAGCTACATGATAAAAGGCACTGCATGGTGTTACAGCTGATTCCATTTGCCATATGGTATGTTATTATTTTGCATTACTTTGGGGAGGGTACTAAAGTGAACGAACAGAACACACTCAAAGCATATAGAAAAACGAGGGCAAATTGCATAGTTCTTAATTATATCAATAAGGTCTGTAACTGAAACAGAGATGCAACTAAATGAGTTGAAAGTGCAGTACACTCCAGCTACTGAAAGCAATAAACTATCAGGAATATTTTAACAGGAAGAAATTGCCAGCGACGATATGTAAAGGCCTACAGACAACATTAAAGTGGATTTGACTTAAAAGTCAGCAAATGCTATGTGTAATGCTACACATATTCCCAAAATATGATTTTACATCAAAGATAATTTTATGTGAGGTAGGCTGGAGAAAACATTTAATCAGTAATCTCTAAATGAGATTCCACAGGCACACCTATAATGAAACCAATACATTAATTATTAAAACAAAGTGGAAGGGCATTTGCTGAAAACAGCTAAAGTGAAACAATAATTAATTGTGTCCATTTGATATCAGGTAAGTGAGCTGTCCCTAGGACCTAAGAAATTTCAAAATAAACAACTCCAAATTTAAAAAGGCTTTCACTTTACAATATATCAGAATTCACAAGCAGAATTTTCTGACTGAAACAAAATCCAGCCAAGGTTAGATCATTCTTTGGGAGCTATTATTCAGTCACCACTGAAAATTTTAAATCAGGAATATTGTGATACCAATACCAGAAATATAGAGGCCTGCTGGTTTTGGGAGTAGTTTGGCTCTCAATGCCATAGTCTATTGAATAAGACATTTTAAGATCTGTTAAAAGAACAGAATGTTTTCAAATAATTCATTGTAATTGTGTAGTATTTCAGATGACATCTTCAAATCTGTCATCTATTCAAGTGTTCCATTTGAGCAGCCAAAAAGTAGATTGCTCCATTTAGCCAGACCTCTAGCATGATTAAATCAGATAAATTCTATTAATCCCAAATATTTCCTAGTATGGGTTATGCAGTGTGCTTTCTCATTAGTTTTTACCAGCTATTATGAAGATTTTTTTTTAGTAAGTCATTTAAGTGTGTTAATGTCATTTGAAGAAAACAGAAAGCTCTCAGGTAAGTAAATAGAGGACCATGGCTCTATGGCCCTTGCTAGCTTGGACTCACTGCCAAAACCCACGGGGTGCAGTTTACCAGTCTCAGGGTTTGCCACTGCACTGGTTAACATCTGCAAATACTTGCTGCCCAGTAATGGTAGGAGGGGCCAAGCTGTAATTGCTGTGCAAATTACTGCACCCGTTCTCATTTCTCAGCTAATGGTAACACCAACTCGTGACACATTCTCCAGCATCTTATCAAAATCCATGAAGTTTTCACACATCTCAGTGTGTGCCATTCATGTTTCTGTTCCAGCCATAAAAAAAGGCTGATGGCAGGAATGACGGATGTCACTAAATGAAGGTTATTATTCAGTGAGAGATAAAGAAAGGAAGGGAGGGAAGAAGCCAGTTCTCACTACTATACTCAAGGGTGTTCTTCCTTTTTAAGGGAGAAACAATCTTGAATATGAGTTAACAGACAGCTCAAGTTTAAAGACACAGTGTTGTAAATAGACTTGCTAAATTACCAAACATTTGTCTGTTGTTATCTTCTTTAAAGAAAATCTGTTTATTAGTGAATGACAGAGCAATATTTGTATATTTTTTCTTCTAAGAACAAATTCAATTCAGTACTAATGAAAGATAACTAGTGTTTGACAGAATTAGTGTTTACCTTACCCTCCTACACTGGGAGTTCAAAACTAAATTATTTTAAATGCTTTGATTTCTGCTATTCTGACAAACTCTGTCACCTTGACAATAACCATAAATGAATGTGTTAGTTATGATAAATTTTCAGTGCAGCAGTTCTAAAATGGGAATGGAAAATAACTTTTTAAAATACTTAGTAATTTCTTCTGAAAAGATAGAAATGTTTAATTAAATGTGGAAAATAGATTTAAGTAAGAATTCGTCAGATAAGAAAAAATCTTATCATAGCATGTTATTATTTCTACTATTATTTTTTACAAAATTTACAAACTATTCAAGATTCACATGTAAAACTCAGAAAAACATCAAGAAAATTATAAATTATAGAGTTTGGGAGTTGAAGTCAAGGAAAGAATCGTGTTCCAAAGCTTCCTCATGATGAAGTTTTTTCTGCTAGTTCAATTCATTTAGGCACTTAATTTTTTTGATTAATTGATCATGACAGTACTATAATATAATATTGATTACCTTACATGTGTTCACTTTCAATGTGTTCAGTTAGTTTAAGGAAATGCTGGTAGGCCAAGAATTTGCTGTGTTTCACAGGAAGAACATTGAATTACATTCATGAAGATCAGAAATAAGGTATTTCTATCCAACCACAGTTTTTAAGTAAGCAAGGTTGATGAGTAGCAGTATATAAGAGGATTTCAGAGAAGACAGAATCTTAAAGCTGTAACCTATTCAAGAGTACACTGACCACTATAAAGCCATCCTGTCAATTACACACACGTTGGTTTTAGTGAAAATGCAGTATTTGAAAATTTGGAAAAATGGTAATGTAAAATAATAAACTGGTTATATAAATAATAACTGGAATAATAAAATTGCTAGTACAGTCAACCTGACTTTCATTTCCAGATGCACTACTAAGTCCAATTTTATCAATACACCTCTACTCAAAAACTTGAAAAATAAGCAACTGCTCTGTGCCTTAGAGGTGCCTCAGACCTAGCTAAACACAATTTGCGTGTATTTTAGGCCTGCCTTCTTTTGATATATAGTTCAGTTTTCAGCTCTCACATGTTTCTTCTGAAAAGATACTTGCTGGATATTTGCAGTACATTATGAACAGATGTTATACCCACTCTGCTGATTTGTGTTAGAGTACTTGTCTCTTCCATGGATTATTAAGTGTTGAAACCATAAGTGAACAATAGTATAGTAAAGAAAATATTTAGGATTTCAGTGCTTTTTCTAAATGAAGTTGTTCACAGCTGGTGCTTCCAAATTCTTCCTTAGTTCTCTTCCTTATTCTGCTTCCAAAATGCTTCCTCATTCTAAATCTAAGTCTTTTTATGGCAGCAAAAGCTGACAGACTCTCAAGGTAAACAACTGGCAACGATTCAAATCCTCATCACTCAGAATGATTCTCTGTAGTTCAGAAGAAACCTCAATACCATTTCAGAGTAAGGGCCACAATATGCCCTTAACAGTCCAGCAGTGTTATTTGTTATTTTTAGGGGAAGTTTTCGGTAAGCAGATCCCAATTTGCAAGCGAGGCCTTTTAACTGCCATGTATGTCTACACTGCACAAATGGCCAATCCACTCTCGAGAACTGAACAGCTTCCTAAGCCCTTTTCCCCAGAGATGCACCTCTGTGGTTTTGATATATCATATATGTTCAAAGGAAAAC